ATTTGAGAAGAAATGTATAAAAATGGAGCTGCAAAAAAGCCAGGTAAGTTCCAGCCAATAATTAGTCAATAAGTACTGGGCTCCAAAACTGGGAGTGATAATCGCGGCTCGTGCAGGAAATAATGGTAGAGAAGAATCAATTATTAGGATGTGGAGGGAAAAAATATTCGTGGTGAAAGAGAGCAAGAATTTGGAGAAGAACTGGGTTCTAGTCTGTACTCCCCGCTCCTGGGGCTCAGTTTCCATACCTACAAAGCAAGATGGGCAGACTAGCCGACTTCTAAGGCCCCCCTCCTGCTCTGACACATATCGATCGCTCAACAAACATGTCCTGATCGCCTTCCAAGGGCCCAGCCTTAGGCTGTGTGCTAGAAGAGGATGTAGTTCCTCCTTCAAGATACTTCTGGAAGGGGAGGCCACGATGTACTCGTTGGCCACAGGAACTCAGGCACGCATAGGGTACCTCCTTTCCCCACCACACTGGGCATGAGGACGGTGGTTCTCTGAGAAGCAAGACTCTTATTTCAGTCTTCCTGGGAGCTCGGATACATAGATGGGATACGGGGAGTCAGTTACACAAAAATACAGAACACACTGCAAATATCATCATGAGCAGTTACCTGCCACGGGACGTACCACAGACGCCCAGTTTGCCTCAGGGTGTTTTTCAGTGATGAGATCCTGATGCCATCTCTCTCATGAGAGCTGACAGTGGTCACTGTACAATTAGCAAGCTAGATGGTTCCCTTTAAAACGGGCCCTCACGGGGGCACCCGGGTGGCTCAGTCGGTTGAGTGCCCGACTTCAGCTCAGGTCATGATTTCATGGTTCGTGAGTTCGAGCCCCACGTCGGGCTCTGTGCCGACAGCTCAGAGCTTGGAGCCTGCTTCGGATTCTGTGTCTCCCTCTCTCTGTGCCCCTCCCCTACTCACGCTCTGTCTCTCTTTCTCTCAAAAATAAACAAACATTAAAAAAGATAAAAAATAAAACGGGCCTTCGCGTTTTCATTCCCGATTCCATTATGTGTTATGTCACTGGCACCAACAGATTAAAGGCTGAATTCACATCCTCAGACCACAGCCTGAAAGAAGGCGCTGGAGTATGAACATATCCCCAGGTAAGTAGCGGCTTCACCACAACTCCGGTACAGAGGTCTGTTTTAACGTACTTTCACTACCTAGGCCTTTTCAATACATGCTTCCAAACCAACTCACAGAACCCCAGGAATTTAAAGTTAGAAACCTCCTCACGAAGGATCTATTCCCTGTGTCGCAAATCAGTTTCAACATGCCATTAACTCCACTTGAGTAGCAGTGTCCAGAAACAGGTGGTGTGGGCTTAGTGGGACAGAGACTGTTTAGCCATGTCTGCCCTGGCCAGGGGAGGGGAGCACCATTATGATACACATTTCCCTTTCCTCTTCTGAATATAAGCCTTCAGTGCACAGTTGAGAGATCCAAGGCCCAAAGAAGTTAAGCCACTCTCCTGAGGTCACACAGTGAGTTTAGGGGTAGGAGAGAGAGTGAGAACCCAGGCCCCTGTTCCCAGGCCTTCCTCAGCTGGGCTCCTTAGGAGACTATCTACCTAGGATGACAGGAGGAATGCAGGGAGCCAGATTTGCTCAGGTAACTCAACAACCCAGCCCCAGTGGCATCAGGTTTCAGCTGGGCATGCAGACACAGAAGAGATTAATAATATAAAGGGTTCCAGCCCCTCTGCAGAAAATTAAAGAACTCATTCCAAGGCTACATTTCTAGGGTACTTAACTTTCTGATGGGTAAGGCTCTGCCACCAGGAAGACTGAAAAAAGCGAGGGAAGAGGTATTGATTTCTAGATGTTCCGAGAATAAAGTTCAGCTCTGACACAATGAGAAAAACTCTTGATACTTGAAAATTAAAGTCATTGGTATTCTATTATCCTACCAATTTCTATTCCACAGTTGCTATTATCCAATGAAGTCATTTCTCACTTTCAGATTATGGCTCTGAAATGGGGAGGGACTGCATCACGTTCCCTAACACGGGTGTTTAGTAGCTAGTTCCCAAGTCTGGAATATGAAACAGACAGTAGGATTAAACAGAGATGTTAAACAGATTGGGGCTACGAATGAGAGGGACCCCTAAATTAAAATGAAGATAGTTTCAAGACTGGCTTTTCTTGCTTGGTTTTACAACTTTCTGAGGACAAAGCTGTCTGACTAGATGAATGTTGAAGTCCTGAAAGCATGATGTGTCCTTTATAAATCAACTGCCCCACCCAGCTCCAGAGGTATGCCTAGGATGAGCTAGCATGACAGGCATACAGACTTACTTTCCAGCAGATGATAAATGCTCTTAACTTGAAACTCTCTATCCTTCAATCCACTGGAGAAGTCCAAGAGTTAAAGGGCTGCTCAAACAGTGGGTATGTTAGCCCTCAGACCCACAGGGAATATATTTTGCATTTGGATAAAGTCCTGTCAGCCTTCCCTCCAGGGCCCCCGTGGTTATTTCTACCAGAAAGATCAACGAGGTGTGCTGGGATAATTCTCAACAATTACAAGAGTGACAAGCTGAGCTCAGAACTGGTCAGCCCTGTCGAGAGAAGCCCTGTGTGCTCAAGATGCCAGATTTCCCAGATAGCAGACTAATGGGTTACATCCATGTTCCAGTGCACGGGGATGAGGGATGGAACCCCATCGCTCTGAGAAGTCAGCCTCCTCCCTCAAGGCCAGCTGACATTCAGACAAGGGACTGGGGGCCAAGCCCAGTGCTGTGCATCTGCAGGAGAGTGAAACAAAAAGTGGCTGTGTGGAAATTTGGCAGAGTGTTCCTGAAAGGGAGCAGATGAATGCTGAATCCCACAGCACCTAGCAGAGCTTATCATTGGGGAAACAGCTCCTTTCTGCTACTCCCAGGAAGCAAAGGAGTTCCTTCAAAGCAAGGATAATCCATCGGTACCCACCTCAATCACCACCACACCCCTTCACCCCTTCTTCCTCCTCTGCGTGATATTCCAGAGCAAAAGAAATAAACAAGAACTAGACCTTCCCAGATGAGCCTATCTGTCCATCTCAGTTAAGGGCTCTGAGCAGTGCCCAGCTGTTGCTCCCCTCTCTCTGCCCAAAAGGCTGCCTTACTCCATCAATTCCCTCTTGCACAAGTGAGTAATTTACTTTGAAAGCTCAGGCCAAACTGGCAGTTAACCTTGACCTTCTCTCTACACATCTGGGTCTATAGAAAATGAAAATCAGGACGTCTCTGGCATCCACGGCAAATGAAATACGAGGGCTTTCTCCAGGCAGAGGCGGAATGTCAGGAGCTATTTTAGAACTGGCTACAGCCATTCCAAAGGAGAGTTAGTGCTCAGGCAGGGCACTCCCCCCCTTGACCTGGGGCTGTGTCCAGTGTGGAGCCCCCACAGGAGGGATGCTAAAAGGGACCCCTGCCCTCAGGAAAGAAAAAAGACGTGGCCTTTGTACCCCTCACTGATTCACTGATGCTATCACAATGCTGGAGCTGGACCAATAACTACATTTCACAGATGGAGAAAAGGAGGCTCAGAGAGGGAGCTGAGAGGTGATCAAGGGCACAAACAGCTAGTCAATGGTAGAGTTGAGGACAGAACCCTGACCTCCTGACCCTGATGCCAGTACAGGGAAGTGAAGAAAGACTTCATGAAGGAAACACCAATATGCACACAGAATTTAAGGGGAAGAGGTCTAATATGGCTGTCAGGGTTTGAACCAGGGTGGTAAAAGAGTTGAGGAGCTTAATTTCCAAACAATAAGAGCTACCAAAGAGATGAAGGAGGCCTTCCAGGATGGTTTGCAACAATTACCAGAGTGACAGGCTGTACTCAAACTGGTCATCCCGGTAGCAAGCAGCCCTCTGTGCTCAAGCAGCCTGATACTAGGAAGAGAAAGAAAAACATCAACCTCAAAAGTCAGTCTCTTCCCTTATCCTGCCAAGGATAAGTCAAGTTGGACAGTGATGGACAAATTATCCACCAAATTATGGGGCCAAGGAAATCCTGTAAGAAAACCTGAAATGTCCCACTGTGTGAAACAGTTCAAGCATGCAAACACTCACTGGCGCCTACCTACCCGGGAGCTGGGGAGGTAGGAGAGCTCTGATAGAGCTTCTGCTATCAGTCTATACGTACGTGTGACACAACAGACACACACGTGGGGGAGTTCAGAGGAAGCAAGAACAATTAAGGTCCTAGACTTGTGCAAGAAACAACACACCTAGTCAGATTGGACAAGTTCAAGAGGGATCATGTCCCATCTCCAAGAAGGGACAGGGAAGGCACCTGATGTTCCAACCTCAGGGCACCCAGGCACAAACACCTCTGGGAATTTGGGGGAATCCATCCACCAGAATCCCTGCTTCTGGACTCTTGAGAAGGTCAAAGGCAGCAGGCCCCTCAAGAACCAGGAGTCTCCCCGCCCCCCCTGCCCCGCACAGTGCATCCTCCAACAAATCCACAGATCTGGGAAAGAGGGAGGGTGAAAAGGGGGGACGGTACACAAATGGGGAGAAGAGGGAGACCTGGTGTCCCACTGAGCAGGGAACACAGAGATCAGCAGGTGAGGGAAAAAGCAGAAAAGACCTGGACGCTAAACAGAAGGACTGGCAGCTCCTGAAGAAGAAGTCATCCTGGGATACAGGCGTACAGACAGGACCTTCCAAAAGCAAGAGCTGCTGAAAGAGGTAAGGGGATACCAGACATGAAAGGAAAGGAGAATGGTAACCTACAGTAAGAAACACACCTTCAGACTGAGCAACAGGAGTCTGTCTCTAGTTCTGGTTCTGCCTCCGACTGACGTGGGGTCTCTGGACAAGTTCCTGTCTTTCTCTGGGCCTCAATTTTCCCAATCCCCAAAATGGGAAGAACAGAAGAGTCTCCGGCGCTGACACGGAGAAGGCAGAAAGGGAAAGGTGGAGGAAGGAAGCGAAGGCTACAAGTGAATACGAGGAGAGAGGGTTCCCACCCCCACAGCAACTGGGGGACTCACCAGTCCGGCCGCCGGGACCACCGCCGCCCCCGATCCTCCGGGGGTGCCGTCGGGCTGCCGCTCACGGTACAGCGCCCAGAGCCCCACGTTGGGCAGAAGGACCAGGGCCGCCAGCACCAGCGCCACCGCCTGCAGAAGCCGCTTCTCCTTCCGCCTCATCGGGGCCGGTCAGCCCCGCCGCGCCCCG